TGCTGCCCATCCCACACAAAACGAAATAGCTGCAGTCTGAAGCAGTGTCACCTATATTTCCGTGTGATATCTGTGAGTAAAAGGTGTGAAACGCTCAGTTACTTTAGCTGCTGCTTCTCCTCTTTGCCTGCTGTGAGACTGTTCCTAGAGCCCTGGACATTCCCCAGTGTCTTTATTCAGTCAAGTTTAGGGGAATTTATTACATCCCATGCATAACAGATCTTACCATAAGGGCATTTTTATGCTATTCCCTTTTTTCCCTGCTTACTTTCTTTCCATTACTCCTCGTTACAGTCCTTTATATCACCCTGAATGTTTCCTCTTCCTCCACGATGTTGATCTCCTTCAAATACTTGCGCTTGGCTATGATATCTTCACTGTAATCTAGGGTTGCCAGGTGTCCAGTTTTCCACTGGAATGCCTGGTCGAAAAGGGACCCTGGTGGCTCCAATCAGTACTGCCGACTGTGCCATTAAAAGTCCGGTCAGTGGTGCAGTGGGGGCCCAGTGCTAAGGCAGGCTCCCTGCCTTCCCTAGCTCCGCTTGGCTCCTGGAAGTGGCTGCCAAGTCCCTGCAGCCCCTAGATGCGTGGGCAGCTAGGGAGGCTTCACGCGCTGCTCTTGCCCTGAGGGCCAGCTCCACAGCTCCCATTGGCTGGGAATCATGACCAATGGGAGCTGCAGGGGCAGCGCCTGTAGGCACGAGGGCAGCACGCGGAGCTGCCCTGGTTGCCCACGCATCTAGGGGTTGCAGGGACCTGGTGGCTGCTTCCTGAGAGCCAGGGCAAGCGCTGCCAGGACCCTGCACCCCAACCCTCTGCCCCAGCCCAGAGTCCCCTCCTGCACCTAAACTCCCTCCTGGAGCCTGCACCCTCCCAACACCCTGCCCCAGCCCTAAGCCCGCTCCTGCACCCCAAACCCTTCATCCCTGGCCCCACCCCAGAGCCTGCACCCCCAGCCAGAGTCCTCACCCCCCCACTCCCCTGCCCCAGCCCGGAACCCTTTCCTGAACCCCTCATTTCTGGCCCCACCCAGAACCCATACCCCCAGCCAGAGACCACACCCTAATCCTCCTGCCAGTGAGTGAGGGTAGGGGAGAGCGAGTGACCGAGGGAGGGGAGATGGAGTGAGCAGAGATGGGGGCTCGGAGAAGGGGCAGGGCCTCGGGGAATGGGGCAGGATGGGGCTGTTTGGTTTTGTCTGATTAGAAAATTGGCAACCCTACTGTCATCTTTTAGCCAAAACACAGACTTTAGGTCCCAGTCTTGCAATGTGCTCCACATGGGTGCAGATGCCTGTCTGCATAGAGCTGATTGCAGGATCAGGGCCTTAATTTTTCATCTCATCTCATAGAGTGACTCTCCCTAGGCTTTTGCTCATTTGCATTGATTATCTTTGAATCAATGCAAATGATTGATCAACCTCACCAAAAAACTCACACAGATACAGACAGACATCAAGTGGAGACAGATGGACATCATACCAAATGGACGAAGGTAAAAAATCCATTGCAATCGACAAACTACTGACTATGGTGAGAGACTGTGCCACGCGCTCTCAAAGAAACTGAGGAACCACCTGATCAGCATCGTGTACAGCAGACAGGAAAAGATCAAGAACGAGCTCTCAAAACTGGAGACACATATACAAAACCAACCTTTCACACAAACTTCCATATGGCTGGACTTTACAAAAACGAGATAAGCCATTTACAATGCACACTTTACTTCTCTACAGAGGAAAAAGGACAGTAAACTATCTAAACTCCTACATGCCACAAGGGGCTACAACAGTGGTACCCTTAACTCACCCAGCAATATTGTTAATCTATCCAACCACACACTTATCCCGGCAGAAGAGTCTGTCCTATCTCAGGGACTCTCTGCCCCACCACCCTCACTAACATGATACAGTTCTGTGGGATCTGGAAGCCTACTTTCACCACCTCTGACTCAAGGAATATTTTCAACACACCACTGAACACTTCGCTGACCCACAGGAACCCTCCTACCAACACTACAAGAAAAAGAATTCTGGTGGACTCCTCCTGACTGTCAAAATGACAGACTGGACTTTCATAGAGTGCTTCCGCAGCCGTGCACAGGCTGAAATTGTGAACAAACAGCATCACTTGCCCCATAATCTCAGCTGTACAAAACGCAACACCATCCACAGCCTCAGAAACAACTCTGACATAATTAAAGGGGCTGACAAAGGAGGTGCTGTAGTCATAATGAACAGGTTGGATTGTGAACAGGAGGCTGCCAGGCAACTCTCCAACACCACATTCTACAAGCCACTATCCTCCGATCCCACTGAGGAGTACCAAAAGAAACTACACCATCTGCTCAAGAAACTCCCTGCTATAGCACAGGAACAGATCTACACAGACACACCCCTAGAGCCCCCACCAGGGGTATTCTATCTGCTACTCAAGATCTATAAACCTGGAAACCCTGGATGCCCCATCAGTTTAGGAATTGGAACTCTTACAGCAGGATTATCTGGCTATTTGGACTCTCTCCTCAGACCCTATGCTACCAGCACTCCTAGCTATATTCGAGAAACCACCAACTTCCTGAGGAAACTACAATGCATTGGTGATCTTCCTGAAAACACCATCCCGGCCACCATGGATGTAGAGGTTCTTTACACCAATGTTCCACACGAGGATGGACTGCAATATCCATGGACGAGGATGGACTATCAGGAACAATATCCCTGATGAGGCCACAGCACACCTTCGTGGCTGAACTTTGTGTCTTTGTCCTCACCCACAACCATTTCAGATTTGGGGACAACTTATATCTTCAAGTTGGCGGCACTGCTATGGGTACCCGCATGGCCCCACAGTATGCCAACATTTTTATGGCTGACTTAGAACAACGCTTCCTCAGCTCTCGTACCCTAGCGCCCCTGCTCTACATGCGCTACATTGATGACATCTTCATCATATGGACCCATGGGAAGGAGGCCCTTGAAAAATTCCACCCGGATTTCAACAATTTCCATCCCACCATCAACCTCAGCCTGGACCAGTCCACACAAGAGATCCACTTCCTGGACACTACAGTGCAAATAAGTGATGGTCACCTAAACACCACCCTATACTGGAAACCTACTGACCACTATACTTACCTACATGCCTCCAGCTTCCATCCAGGACACATTACACGATCCATTGTCTACAGCCAAGCCCTAAGATATAACTGCATTTGCTCCAATCCCTCAGGCAGAGACAAACACCTACAGGATCTTTATCAAGGGTTCTTAAAACTTCAATACACACCTGGAGAAGTGAGGAAACAGATTGAAAGAGTGAGATGGGTACCCAGAAGTCACCTACTACAGGACAGGCCCAACAAGTAAAATAACAGAACACCACTGGCCATCACGTACAGACCCCAGCTAAAACTTCTCCAGCACATCACCAACAAACCACAACCTATCCTGGAAAATGATCCCTCACTCTCACAGACCTTGGGAGGCAGGCAGACAGCCCCGCAACCTGAAGCAAATACTCACCAGCAACTACACACCATACCATAGAAACACTAACCCAAGAACCAATCCCTGTAACAAACCCCATTGCCTACTCTGTCCCTATATCTACTCTTGCAATTTTCCCTCTCTTGGTATTGACACCTCCACATCAATTATTGGGAGTGGACTATATCCACCCTGATTGAATTGGCCCTGTCAGCATTGGTTCTCCACTTGTAAGGTAACTCCCTTCTCTTCATGTGTCAGTATATTTATTGCTGCATCTGTAATTTTCACTCCATGCATCTGAAGAAGTGGGGTTTTTACCCACAAAAGCTTATGCGCAAATAAATCTGTTAGTCTTTAAGATGCCACCAGACTCCAGTTTTTTTTTTTTTAATTGCACTGCTAACTCTGCTCTGTTTCTCTAGTACTGAGACAACCACACCTGGACTACTGTATTCTGGTGTGTATAACTAGACTTTCTTTTAGTGTATATGGCAGTAGGTGGCATGGTTTATTTTGTTGGCTGGGCTGTTTAATTGGATTGGTTATTTCTTTGTATATGGAGTAAGGTGGTGGAGATAAAAGGAGAGCCCTGAAAAAGTGGCCTCTGTTTCAATTTATAGACATGCCAACTTGTCCTCAGTATGGTGGCGAAAGGTCTGTGATACCCTTGTACTCTCGTGGGGAAGTCGAGATCCTTACCCACCCTAGGAACCCAGAGGGATCGGTAAGGAGCTACATGATGAGAGAGTGATGTAGGCTCATTGGTGATTGGGGTCTCTGATTCCTATTGATGAACATGGGAAAACGGGGTGGGCTGAGGCTCTCTCATAGATCCAGTTTGCCCATATGTCTCACTAGTATTGTTTAAGATCATTCCTCAGTATGATAGGGAACTGGCTGGCAGTAACCCTGCCCTTTCTGTTCATGTTGTTCGATGTAAACTTGGTGATGAATCAAATTCTTGCTATCCATCATTTGCTTGTGGATGAGGCCCTGACTTTGCTTCTATAACTAAGATTGGGCTGAATGATCCAGCAAGCCTTATGTTAGCACCTCTACAGGTGTTTTTGGTTTTTTGCATGCGCTGACATGGTTAGGAAAGAAGCTGTAATAGTCTGCAACTGATTTTAGATGTACAAAACCAATTGGTGTAGAAATGGAACAACAAACACAAGTGCCCAATCTCTCTTAATACTAGAACAAGGGAACATTCAACCAATTTGAAGGGCAGTAAATGTAATATAAATAAAAAGAAACACTCTTTAATCCAGTGCACAGTAAGCCTACAGAACTCAATGCCATAATAGAATTAAGACTGAGTTTAGCAGGCTACCAAAAACAAACGTACAAAAAAACCAACCCAGATTGGGATTTATATAGTTAATGAGAACAGTTTCAATTGTGAAAATTTTTTAAACTTTATTTTTTTAGAAGGGGTAAGCCTCATGCTTAGAGGTTTATGCCATTCTTTACCTACTAGAGGTAACAAAAGAACTGTCCCTATGAAGAGATTTGTTTCACAGTTTCTTGTTGCAGGGTTTCTTATATCTTTCTCTGAAGTATCTGGTACTAATCACGATCAGACAGGGTACTACACTAGATGGATCATAAGTTAAGTTGAAATCGCTGTGACGTGCAGGCTGCACGATTGAATCTCGGACTGCCTCGAGAGTTCTCATGCAGGCTTATTCTCTTGAGTGACTTCAAAGATTATGCACTCCGTAAAGGTGACTCAGGAACACGTGACATCCATGAGTTTGTCCCAGAGGATTTCATATGTACCATGTAGGCATGAAGTTTGGAATCTTGTATTTGGGACTATGATAGAAATTCAGGTGGGTGGCTGAGGATTACCTTTGTTAGTCTGTCATTACCTCCGGTTTGAAGGTAGGACTCACCTTTACCCCCTTTCCGGGAGCTGCTTTCAGCTGTTAAAAGTGGACCCAGGCTCAGTTTTAGGCCTCTCTAAGGAGGCCCTGTGTAGTCAGCAGACCAGTCTTTTGCATGGCTAGCAGGACATCATAACCATCCTGTCCTTCAGCTTCAGTGGGGTGGATACGAAGTGTCCTCTCTCAGGAGGTCATCCTCCCAGGTCACCTTGGTATACAGATGACTGGTGACAGATGATGCATGTGGTATGGAGGTTACAGGGGCAGTCGTCTCTTTCCGAGTATAATCGCTCCACATAGTGTTCGATGTCATGGCTGCTGTGGAAGTGACGAAAGATGTCAATGCAGAATAAAAAAGCTAATGGTGTGGGAGGGTAGTCGTATATGAAAAAAAATAGTTTTAGTTTTTGGGGGTGAGGGGAGTGTTCAAATGTTGGCAGTTGTTACAGGCACAGAGCTTGTGTTCCTATGAAAAGATAGACTAACTGAAACAGAACAGGTAAATTTGTATACCCTAACTGGAGAAGTGCATAAGTTTATTAGGTCCCCAAAAAAAAAATCCAGCTCAAATGACTGGCATAAATAGGCTGGAACAAACTATGCCACATACAATATAAATGGGAAATCAAAAGGATATTACAAAGATCCAGAGATACAAAGGTCAATAATTCTTCAAATACATTCGAAGCAAGAAGGCTACAGGTGTTGCTTTCGTACTTTCTTGTGTTTAAATTCTCAACCTTGATGTTGTCTTAGCATAATTACATGCAAAAACCCTCCTTTGTTTAATACGGAAGGAAAAATATTTTAAAGTTGAAGCAATGTTCTACAGTGGACACATTCTGCACATAAGCTTCACTTAAAACCCGATGACTGCACAGAAATGGAACGACAACAAACTGCAGTTACATGTTTTGCTTAAAAATATCTATGGTTTATAGATTTCCTTTATGTTTTATAATTGTGCAAAATGTTGCATCACATCTGCTATAATAGATTAGGCATACGCCATGCAGTTCCACTTTCCTGCCGTTCAAGAACAACTAAATTTAATTACAGAGCATATGCCAACATGTAAAACAAAACCTTGGTCAAGAGTTTCAAAAGTAACTAGAGATTATGGGACACTGTTTTCCAAAGGCAGGTGACCAGAACTTCCTGAAAATCAGGCTCCTTCAAGGTATCTCAGGTTGAGTGCCCAAAAATCACTAATCGTTTTAAAAAAAATTTGCCAAAAGGTCTGAAAAACATTTTAGAGGGAAAAATTTCTTTCCCCATGCTCACCTAACTCAAATGGATTTTTCTCATACTGTCTAAAACTTATCTTTTGCTGAGACTTTGGTTTAAACTCAGCTGGTATAAAAGTGCAGAACTTCTTTGAAGTCAATGGAATTGTACCCACTTACATCAACAGAAAATTTGGCCCATTATATATTATCTTAAATGGAAAATATGTGGAAATTAAAACCACTTAAAGAACCCTCAGAAGAGGTTGAAATGAAAAGTTCTCCTTGACCTTAACTACAGAGTTCTTTACACGTCTATAGTACCCTTCTTCTCAGGAACTCAAAGCGCTTTACAAATATGAATGAATTTAGCCTCACAACATCCCGTGAGGTAGGTATTATTCCCGTTTTACAGATGGGGAAACTGAGGCAGAGTTCTGAAGTGACTTGCCCAAGGTCACACATCTTGTCAGTGGCAAAATCAGGCATAGATTTCCAAGAGTCCTGAGTCCCAGTCCTCTGCTCTCATATGTTCCCTCCCTACTACTACAAAGCAAGCAATATATGCAGCTTCTTTTCTTCCTTGGTCTCACCAGGACTACAGAGGCAGTAGAAGTGAATATATTTACTCCTGGCTGAATTCCTGCTTTCTTTAGTAGCAGCACTTTGTCTGACAGTACTAAGTGCTCATTTTTTATTTTGGAAGAGTTGTTTCTTCCAGAATGTGGTGTAGAGAGGGTTTCTTAAGTCAGGTTTCTCCATACCAGAAAGACTGTACAGGGTGCAACAGGAAGTGGAGAGTCCTATTTCTTACAGAAGACCTGCTGTTTGGCATTCTTCACACGCTGTTCCTCCTTCAGGTTCATCTGGCGTGCATGTTTGCTGGAGATCATTTCCACATGCTCTGAGGGAAACCAGCCTCTCTCTCCATCTGAGAGTTTCACTCCTTCCATCCAACCTGCAGGGGTGGAGGCAGACACAGAGAACATGAGACAAACTGACTGAGATTTCCCTTTCCCACCTCAAAAAAGCCCCATCCCAACTGAGCAAGCTAGAGCAACACACCAGCCAAAAAGAGATCCCCTTGCTGTCTTCAAGCCACATGGTCTATTTGTTTAATGGTCTAATTGAGACCCCCAGATAATAGGTAGGCAAGGGAGAATCTTCTTCCAGTCCCATAGGCAGGGGCAAGATACTTTCTGAGAAGAGAGCCTCTCTCTCCATCCTTTATATAGCCTAATGGCCCTGAAATCAAAGAGACATCCTAATACAACTCAGTTCTCACCCCCCTTCTCCAAGAAGATCACGGCTTGTTCCACTCACCGTCATTGCTGTTCTGCATGACCATGATGATATCTGCTTTCTCCAGAGCCAGCTCGTCATTCTCCCGAGCTTTGTACGTCCGTATGCACTGAACTTGAGGTGAGTCTGAGAGAGAGAGGGGTGGAGAGTGTGAGCAGGCTGGAGGAGTGAGAGGGATTGCAAGTGTTGGGTAACGCATTCTTCCCAAGGGAGGAAGAACGTGAGGGTTGGGCACAACACCTGAGGGGTGAGGGAGACCCATTTAGGGTGAGGCCCAGCATCTGAAAAGTGGGGAGGTGGAAGAGCGCCCATGTCAGGGGTGACACCTGTGATGAGTGTCTGAGGCTGTGGAGGGGATGGGGAAGGTAGAGACTGAGGGGCATCATCTGGAGATATGGGGAAGAAAAATAAGAGTCAAGTTTGACATTTGTAAAATAAGTAAAGGGGAGAGTGAATGCTCCTCTTCAGATTCACTCCTGCATCCATGTTACCCTTGTATCTTCCTCCTCACTGGGACACCACTCTGCCCATTAAGCAAGACTTCCCACCCAGCCCTGTAGCGCCTGAGCAGTCTCACCAGGGCTTTCTAAGAGATCTGGTTCTCCTCGTGGTGGCGCCAGAGCAGAGATCCACCGCAGCTTCTCACTGCTGGAAAACACCAAAATACAGATGCTGGTGAGACAAGAATGGAGCAGCCAGGAGAATGGGGGGTGGGGGGGTTGTTTGTGTAGGGGTGGACTGGAGAAAAGAAGTGCCTGCCACCACCTCTTGGGGAAGTGAAAGAGGAAGCTAAATAGGGGAAGTGAAGGATTAGTGAGAATCTGAGGCTAAATGAAGGAGGGAAGAGAAAGGGGTTGAAAAACTGATTTCCCACATTTTGGTAAATGGTAAACAATTTGGTATCCCAATTTTTGATATCCCAGACACGGTGTTAGGAACTTGAGATATCTGCCTGGGTAGTTGTTCAATGGGGTAATTGAGAAGAGGGTATGGAACAGGACAAGGGTACAGGACAGTATGGAGAAAGATGGCTCAGTGGATGGGATTAAGGGGTCAATATGACCACGCATTGGGATAATTGGAAAGCGTGGTGGGAGGCTTGCAACTTCCTTGTAAGAGAGTGTCCTCTGGGTCTCAGAAGCAGCAGGGGATGTTGGGCATTTAGGCAGCTGAGAGGGTTACAGGGTTTTGGCAGCTGCAACCATATGTATAATTGGCATTAGGATTCAGTGGGAACAATCTCTGGTTCTTACTGTGTCTCTGTGCGAAAGAGGAATTCCACTCTTTTCCCCTGGTTGTTCTTAAGGAGAAAAAGGCGGAAAACATTTTTGTTTGTCCCGTGCAGCTTCACCTCACACTTCTCCCCACGTACATCTGAAAATGCAGCATGATCAAACACGACAAAGCGCCCACCCCTAAAGGGAAAGAGGGGGAATTAGAGAAACTGTGTGTTAGCTTTAAAAGTGACGTACACAGGATAAAACATTGGGGTTTGGGCCCTTTCTTGCTGCTTTGATAGGTCAAGAAGGCTTAAAAGGGGGGGGGGGGTTCCACCTTAAACCTATAAAGTCTCATCTTCTCTGCTTTTGCTAGAGGTCTTCTTGGAAGACCAGAGAATTGGAACAGGATTTTTCTTAGCCCTCAATGGAAGGGGCAGGATTGTTTGAATCTATCACAAGCCATTTTTCTCACAAGTGTTCGTCAGAAGCTGGTTAAATATTTTACAACTTAAAAGAGAGAGTCTGGACTAAAGAATCCCTTCCTCAACTACTCAGATTTCAGGTTCTTGTCATGCCATATTCCCACTGGTTCTCTGGTCATCCATACAGTCCTTAAGCTAAAACAGATTGGGGGAGAAATGAGTTAGCCTTGAACAAAACTAGACTGAATTAAGTTATGCTGTGAAGCATAAAGGTGTGTGGGGTGGGGGGGGGTGCAAAGGGGAGGAAGGTATGTAGAACTACATAAGAATGCTGTAATTAAGAGTTTGGAAGTGAAGGTGCTGCATGATGAAGCTTGCAGGCTGTTCATGAGATGTGAGACTGCTAAACTGAGCAGTCTAGCTGACAAAGGTTGCCATCTGCTGGCTGGAATCTGATGGGGGAAGGGACACTGCCTCACCAACATCCCCACCCCTTTCTGGACCCAAGATTAGAGGTCAGTGAGAGGTGCAGTCTGGGACACTCACTCCCTGGGCCTGGACAGGAGCAGGCGGTCATTGAAGAGGTGCAGATAGATGGGGCGGGTGTTGAGTTTCCACTTGGGGCTCAGAGTGTTGTTGTCCAACGCCATCAGCTCACCACACTTCACCAGCCGCCTTGACTGTGAGACCAGTGGGAATATCTGTGAGACAGGGAAGAATGCCATGATTAGATACCCATGGAAGTTGGTGCATTAGGGCTGGAGTTATGCCTTCAAACAGGGTTCCAGGTAAAGACAAGGTTTGAGATTGCTCTCATCTCCCCTGTTGTAGGTGGGCAAGTTGTGACCTGAGTCCGCTTCTTCCAACTCCAGGATGAGGTAGATGAATTGGGTAGATTCAGCTCTTGTTTACTCCCCTGCATTATGCCAGGGATGACACCAGAACCAGCTCTCGCTCCCCTTCTTGTACAGGAGTGAGGTGCTGGGCTGATGTACAAGAGTGGGTCAGGTTACTGAACAACCCAGGGGGAGCGTCTCACCTTGTACTGCAACTCTATTTTCTGTGTGCTCTATACTAGTTCACCAGTGCTCCTCACGTATTGGAAAATACATGGTGCGGTGGGAGACGACGGATTAAGTGTGCAGTGATGGGTTAGTGGTGTTGGGTCAGGGTAGTAAGAAGGGCTGAAGTAGAAATTGGGAGTGGGGCAGGTTCTCACCTTGCACTCAAAATCAATCTTTTGGCTTAGGTAGATCAACTCCTCAGTGCTCTTCATGCGCTGGACATTTTCGTTGCAGTCCTTTATGAGCTGCAGAGAGGAAGGAGGAAAAGGTTGTTGGGAGTTGCCCACTGGGAGTGGGTAGATGTAGATGGCACAACCCTCAGGGTTCTTTCTCCCAGAACCTTATTTTCCAAAGAGAGGATGCTGTGTTTGCTTGGCCAAATGGTTAGTTTTATTCACTGTGGAGGTTTAGTCCCTGATTTTGAGCTTTGCTCTGAGTGAGGAGTGCTGTCATCATTTCTCGATTACTGCAACCTCCTTGTGTCTGGTTTTGACAAATCCAGCCTTGTCTTGCTCAGAGCCGTTAAGAATGTTGCTGCAAAGAACACTCTCCTAGCCTGTTGCTTTGACCATGACACTCCTCACTTTGCCTCGCTGTACTGGCTCTCCCTTCTGTATCACATCCAACCGAAGCTACTTGTCTTCTACATTATGACAGGTTTCAGAGGAACAGCCGTGTTAGTCTGTATTCGCAAAAAGAAAAGGAGTACTTGTGGCACCTTAGAGACTAACCAATTTATTTGAGCATGAGCTTTCGTGAGCCACAGCTCACTTCATCAGATGTTTACCGTGGAAACTGCAGCAGACTTTATATACACACAGAAATCATGAAACAATACCTCCTCCCACCCCACTGTCCTGCTGGTAATAGCTTATCTAAAGTGATCAACAGGTGGGCCATTTCCAGCACAAATCCAGGTTTTCTCACCCTCCACCCCCCCACACAAATTCACTCTCCTGCTGGTGCTAGCCCATCCAAAGTGACAACTCTTTACATAATCAAGTCGGGCTATTTCCTGCATAGATCAAGGTTTTCTCACATCCCCCCCACCCCCATACACACACAAACTCACTCTCCTGCTGGTAATAGCTCATCTAAACTGACCACTCTCCAGGTTTAAATCCAAGTTAAACCAGAACATCTGGGGGGGGGGGGGTAGGAAAAAACAAGAGGAAACAGGCTACCTTGCAAGGTAGCCTGTTTCCTCTTGTTTTTTCCTACCCCCCCCCCCCAGATGTTCTGGTTTAACTTGGATTTAAACCTGGAGAGTGGTCAGTTTAGATGAGCTATTACCAGCAGGAGAGTGAGTTTGTGTGTGTATGGGGGTGGGGGGGATGTGAGAAAACCTTGATCTATGCAGGAAATAGCCCGACTTGATTATGTAAAGAGTTGTCACTTTGGATGGGCTAGCACCAGCAGGAGAGTGAATTTGTGTGGGGGGGTGGAGGGTGAGAAAACCTGGATTTGTGCTGGAAATGGCCCACCTGTTGATCACTTTAGATAAGCTATTACCAGCAGGACAGTGGGGTGGGAGGAGGTATTGTTTCATGATTTCTGTGTGTATATAAAGTCTGCTGCAGTTTCCACGGTAAACATCTGATGAAGTGAGCTGTGGCTCACGAAAGCTCATGCTCAAATAAATTGGTTAGTCTCTAAGGTGCCACAAGTACTCCTTTTCTTTTTGTCTTCTACATTAAAAGCCTTTCACAGCCTCTCCCCACCCTAGCTAGCATCATGATACTACCTATCATTCAGTATCAAAGGGTCAACTCCTTCCTCCGATTGGCTGTCAGCCTCCATTGTCCACTTGTGAAATTTTCGAACAAACACGTTTAGGCACTCCTGTAAACATTTTGGTGGCGCTCCTGTAAACATTTGCAAAAGTAACTCATTATCCACCTTCAAATTCCGCCTTTGCTGGTATTTCCTACAAGAAAATCCGCAATGGTTAGGCTGCTGGTATATTAAGATCACAGCCTATCATGCTGACCACGATTGTTTCCTTGTGCTCCCATCTGTTGTCTCCTGTCTTATGCTTAGTTCCAGCCCCAAATAGTTCCAGCCCCAAATAGCTTAGTCTATCTATTTGCCCTGTGTTTGTACAGCACCTGGCACAAAGGGCTCCTAGGTGCTACAATAATATCAGGATATCTGGGAAGCAGTAGATGCATCAAAATACTGTTTCCTGTTGGGAACTGGGTCAAGTCACTGGTCATTTGGGAGCAATACTTACTACAGGCAGGTTTCAGAGTAGCAGCCGTGTTAGTCTGTATCCGCAAAAAGAGCAGGAGGACTTGTGGCACCTTAGAGATTAACCAATTTATTTGAGCATAAGCTTTTGTGAGCTACAGCTCACTTCATCTGATGCAGTGAGCTGTAGCTCACGAAAGCTTATGCTCAAATAAATTGGTTAGTCTCTAAGGTGCCACAAGTACTTTTTTTTTTTTTTTTTTTTTACTACAGGCAGTATCTCAAGCATTCAGGAAGCTGGGGGTTATTAGATAATATTTAACCACAGACCTCACCTTTGCGTGGGCCTGACCCACCTCCTGCTCCACTAAATCTGTTCACTATCCCCACATGAGGAGGATGCTCTTTAGCCTTAAATATAGGGCTGTCTAAGGTGGTTGAAACCCAGCAGCTGCTAATAGTGCATGGCAATGTGGATTTACAGAAGAAAGGAGCAACACTCCAACGGGCAGGACTAGCTCAAGTACAATCTAGGACCCACTTTGCTGCAAAGTGCAGGATTCAGTGTGTGACATTCTTCCCCACACCCAATGGTCCCAAATTCCTATGTTCTAGCTGCTGTGCTGTGGGAGACTCAATTCCATGAGACTTGAGCAAGGGTGGGATTGCATAGGAGGGAGTGCACACCATGTAAAAAACTGATCTGAGTGGTTGCAGGGGTGGAGCATACCTGCCATGAAGGGTGTGACATCATGATTCCTCAAATGATTGCCCTATTTATCATATTTATTACCATAGTGCATTGTGACTAACCAAGAATGGAACCCCATTGTGCCAGGCACGGTACCAACACAAAGTAGTAGACAGTCCTGCCCCTGAGAGCTCCAGTCTAAATAGACAAAAGGTAGGGGAAAGGGATACAGCATACGGATTGATGATTGTGCAAGTGGTATGTTAGTGTCATGATATGGGTGCGCGGGGATAGATATGGTAGTTTCCTGCAATATCCTTGAAAAACCTTATTGAATGATGCAGCTTTGGAGTTCGTTGCATTAAAGATGCAAAGTTTATGGATTATTGTAGAATTGTATGTAACTTTTCTAGGGGGGAGATGTGACCCCCATAAACCCTGAGAAGTGTCATAAGCTTCAAAGCTTTAAACGTTATGCCAGACAAGAAGGAACCTTTGGGACAAACAAAATTGAGTGGTTTTTCTAGGAAATACTTGGGAGGAGGTGAATGCAAATTTCCAACACTGGACCCAACCTTCTGCCGTGAGGAGAAACCCATTGTCTGCTGATTACCTATCCTTGGAATAGGAAGATCACAGCTCCAAGCTGCAGAAAGGAAGGATTTATCGTTCAGAACAAGCTCCCCCATTAATTTAACAGCTATTATTAACTTGTAACCACAGGAAAACCCCTTGGTGGGGTTCGAAAGACTGATCAGCCCCAGTTGGAGTTGGGTGGGGGTGGGAATCTCTGGTAAGCTTTTTACCATGCGGGTATGTTCCTTTAGTGTTTTTAATGTTTTCTCTGTAATGTTTTCACCTTAAGAAATATGCTTGTTTAGAAAGGGCTGTGTGGTAGCTTGTAACTGTAGGCAATTAGGCTGCTTATAGCCTCTGAAGAGAAAGCAAAGCAGGCCTGCTGAGGCACTCTGACTTGCAGAACTCAGTGCTGGCAAAAAGTGGTCAGGAGGGAGAGAGCCGCAGGTCTCTACCTGAGAGAGCTGATGGCTGGGGAGCTGGAAGCCTGAGACAGGATGCCCTGGCTGGAGCCACACGGGGGAAATACAGGTGCAGTTGCCCTGAACTGTGATGGAGACTTCTGTTTAAACACATTGAGGTAAATGAAAGATGAAGGGAATGAACAGCCAATCAGCACATGGGAGAGAATGCCTAGAGTGAAAACTAAAGAAAGTAGTGTGACATTATCAGTGCCCATCAGCCCCTGCTTACACTTCAAGAGCATGTGGCATTAGCACATGAGCAGTAAGATCATGTGAGCATTTCAGTCTGTCCCTGAAGGGAGTCCCGTGCTGTGGGAGTCCCTCCAGCTGTTTGGTTCACTGTCTAAAGCAGCACTGGCAGCTTGGCAATCACACTGCTAGTGGAGAATGGTCTGGTGCTCCTTACCTTCTCCAGTGCATCATAAGCCTGTGTGGCCTGTACTTCTTCATCCGACTCGGGCGGGGTTCTCTTCAGTATATTCTGCAGAACAACCGCAAAAAGTGTCTCAGAACGGAGGCTGAGAAAATGGACCCCAAGGACAAAAGAGCATGGGGGCATGTAGATATGGGGGAGCCAGGTGTAGGGAAACAGGATGAGCAATAGCAAGGGAGAAATGGGCAGAGGGCCAAGACAGGAGGGGAGCATGAGGGGATCAGGATAACCAGCAAGCACAGGAATCTGCATGCATCTCCTATCTTTGCAAGTGTACTACTAGACTCAAATATCACATGCAATAACTTCTATAGGGGGAAATGAACGCTAGTCATGGCACAAAACAGCTGAGGAACAACAACATGGTTCTTATTTGTTCAATACTTCTTTCTATTTGTGCAACAGTAGGGCACATTAAGCACACTATATTAGGACTCTGTATACTACATTGGCTCCTGTTTGCTTCCAAGTGCAGGTCAAGATATTTTTAAAGCTTTGGCTGTGCATTAAAAACTCCTAAACTCTAGAAGGGGAGCATCTAAGCATTTATAACCTAGCCAGCGTTGGTGTCAGAGAAACTACCAAAGATTATCACAACCACACTCTGCAGGCCACTGAACAGGCAAACTTCTCTCCTGTTCCCCTCAGCTCCTCTTTCTTTCCCTGTCTAGCCTCGGACAGGATTCCTGTGCAGTGACCTGTGTCGGAGCGTGCAGTGAGGGAGGCGTTAAGAGTATGTGCTGGGGACTGCGGGTCCTGTGGCCACAGCGCTGGTACCTGGAGGAGGAGTTTGAGTCGGGTGATGCGTTGGAAGGGGAGAATGAGGAAGGATTTGAGGGAGAGGCGCTGACACACAGTGGCACTTTCCAGTCTCTCCAGGACTTGCTGGAACCTTGCATTCTCAGTCCTGCCGAGAGAGAGAGAGAGAGAAATCTAGGCGTTGTACGGAATAACAAAGTGGTGGTGCCTTCCACGAGTGGAGGGGCAGGATCACAGTCTGATTCAACCAAGCAGCAGAGCCCTCATTACCTTGGAAGTGGCTCTTTCCCTGCAAGAGAAACAATCTCTCTCTCTCAATGGGGTTGAACCCTTCTGCTGGGGAAGAGGTAGTGTGCAGGCTGGCCCTTTGGGAACTGGGTCTCTCAGCAGGGTGGCAGTGAGGAAGTAGTATTGAGGTGGCATCACAGCGACCTATTTCCTTCCTCAGATGAATGGCCATGCTGGGTCAGACCAGTGGTCCAACAGGCCCGGTATCCTGTCTCTGACAGTGGCCAATACAAGAGCTGTAGGGTGTGTGTACAGAGTAGGCCAGCTGGAATGATCCACCCCGCCTTCCCCTCCTGGCTTCTGGTGGTCAGAAGTTTAAGTTGCCCCAAGCATGGAGTTACATCCCTGACCATCTTGGCTAATACCCATTGATGGACCTATCCTCCATGAACTTTTCTAATTCTTTTTTTTAACCCAGTTATTCTTTTGGCCCTCACAATATGCCATGGCAATGAGTTGCATAGGTTAACTGTGTGTGGTGTGGAAAAGTACTTCCTCTTGTTTGTATTAAATTTGTTGACCATTAATTTCATCAGCTGATCCCTAGTTGTTATATTGTGGGAAAGGGTAAATAACACTTCTCTGTTCACTTTTCCCACACCATTCATTTTACAGACTTGTATTGTATCCCCCTTATGCTTCTCTTTTCTAAGCTGATCGGCCCTAATCTTTTTAGTCTCTCCTAGTATGGAAGCTGTTCCATACCCTTGGTGATCTTTGTTGCCCTTTTCTGAACCTTTTTCACATCCACTCTATCCTTTTTGAGATGGGGTAACCAGAACTGAACTCAGTATTGAAGGTGTGGGTGTACCATAGATTTATATCGTGGCATTATGAGATTCTGTCTTGTTTTCTATTCCTTTCTTAATAGTTCCTAACATTGTTAGCTTTTTGACTGCTGCTGCACACTGAGCTGAAGTTTTCAGAGAGCTATCCATGGTGACTCAAAGATCGATCTTGAGTGGTAACAGCTAATTTAGAACCCATCATTAGATATGTGTAGCTGGGATAATATTTTCCATTGTGAATTACTTTGCACTTGTCAATGTTGAACCTCATGTGACATTTTGTTGCCCAGTCACCCAGTTTGGTGAGCTCCCTGGGTAACTCTTCCCAGTCAGCTTTGGACTTAACTATCTTGAATAATTTTGTATCATCTGCAAACTTTGCCACTTCCTTGTTCACTCCCTTTTCCAGTGGGCAAGAGAAGCTGTTCCCTGGTGAGACAGAGCCCTTTGGAACAGGGAGATGCCTCCCTATAGGGGGAATAGCTACGTTCCAATTCCCCCCTCAATGGGTTAGGGCCCTTCCCTAGACGCAGAGGCAATGCCTGTGTGATCTTCCTCCCTCCTTTTCCTAGAGCACAGGTAGCATCCTGGAGGCCCTCTCCGTTTGGAATTGAGCCTTTCCTGGTGGGAGGATGGGAGGGATCAGTACCAAGGCAGCCTCCCTCAGTATTAGGTGGCAGTGAGAGGAAGTACAAGGGGTGGCCCTTCTCCAGGAGAAGAAGGGAGGCAGTGTGTGTGCAGTTTCCATGAGGACTGGGTTCTTGTATGGAAATAGCAGGGGGAGAGTTGTTACTGAGGCATCCTCGTTCCACATTGGGGTCCCTCCCCATAAAGGGTCGGTATCCAAGTGACCTACAGCTCTGATTTGTTCTCTCCTGCAGGGGATGTTGTGGCACTGGAGGCATGAGCTGCTCCACTCTACCCTCCACAGCCATGTTGAACTGAATCCTCCAGTAGGATGGGGTGGCATGAACCTGCAATTACTTGTTTCTGCCTTCTCCAACAAGGGGTTCTGATACTTGGTAGAATCAGATGCTGATTAGTCTTTCCCTTCCCGTGGCTGTTAAACCAGAGGAGCCTGGCACTTCCCAGCCCTGCCCTCCCCTCCCAATGGATGGTTTCTGTAACACTGAAGGAAGCCTCCGACTGCTCTCATACACCCACACTTGTGGACGGGGCATGACTACCTGGGGACAGCCTGCAACCGCTCAGCTCTATCCTGGCTAATAAAGGGCACTTATGAGGTGCAGCAAGGAGAACAGGGGGTGAGGTGGGAACAAAGCAGAGTTCTTACAGGAGCCTCTGGAAAATCTGGTCCTGGTAGGTCTGATTTGTCACGTAGGGCAGATACACCTTGCGGAATTCAGGAGCATGTCTCAGAGCCACATCACACACGTTGAAGGTGAACATGTTCTCCTCAAACTTTTCCTCCAGGTCGAAGAGGAAACTGTAATGCCCCATATGTCGCCATGAAAGGAGAGAAACACTGTTACTAATGTGCTGTGGTTAGTGTTATTTATTATTTACATTACCATAGCACCTAGGAACCACAGTCATAGGTCAGGACCCCACGGTGCTCAGTGTTGTACAAACACAGAACAAAAAGATGGTGCCTACCTCAAGGAGCTAAAACTCTGACTATAAGACAAGAGACAGCAGATGGATACAGACAGACTGGGAGAGTACAAGCAAAGTGAAAAGGTCCTTTTGTCTCTGTCAGTCACCAGTCTCCTTCGCTTGCTGTGCTATGTGTAAGGCCCACACACTAATCACAAGGTTCCTCTCCACTTTTGGGGGACAGCAGAGGTCTGGGTGGTGGTGGTGGTTTGGTTTTCAGTGTGAAAGAGAGCTGAGGAATACCCAAATACATCTTCATTAAGTCAAAAGGGATTTCAGCTACTGTGAAGTCCTGTTTACTGCTGCTTAAGGCACATTCATAAGGATCTGAGACAAAAACAAAACAAAACAAAAACAACCTAGCCCTGTAGTGGAAATGGAAAAAGTGGCAGAGAACCAAAGGACATGTAATCAGTCAAGCCTTACAGGAGAGAAATAAAGGTTCTGAGATACAGAATGTACATCAACCAAAATGTCTGGCATGTGGTGGCACTGGTTCTGGTTCAGCCTTACGGCTGGTGCTGGATTTAGCCAGGTTGGGATCTGCCAGATGCTGGCTCTAGTTTTCTTAAATTGGGTCAGGTGGATGATGGGTTATGTCTGCGTGGTGCTAGATTTGGGCTGAAGTCTCCTTCCTGGTAATTCTCCTTTGGTTCAGGCCAGGTTTGGTGGGGCCTGTAGTCTGGTTGGTGGCGTTTTAGAGTCTTTGCACCACAATTTCTAAATGCACCACACTGAATGAACACAACTACCTGACTCACTCTCTCACCCAAAGAAGGAAAGAGGTTCGTTCCAGGGTAGGGTAGATGTTCTTCTGAGGAAGGGATGTGTGTCCCAGGATTGAATGGATATGTGGAGTAGGGGTGAGAGGGCTATTGACAGGTCTGATCTTTGTTTTCCATCATTGGGCTGTATCTGCACTTCACAGATGCTGGTGGTCTCTGAAGTGAAGGACCAGGACTCACCTGGCACTGACATCACGCACTTCCTGCAGACGGGAGAAAAGCCACTGGCGCTCCTGATTGCTGAGGAGTGCCTGGAGTTCTGATGAGCGCTGGAAGTGATCCACTGCCACATTTAAACTGCGCAAGTATGAGGCCTCTGACATGATCAACTCGAACTTGGCCTGTAGAGGAAGGGACACAGTGTTAGCATAGCGGGCATGTCTGTGAGGGATGTAAATGAGGTGGCACTGAAGGACAATGACGGGGCAAAGGTCAGTAACTTTCCTGGCTTCCAGTGTAGGTAGTGTGTAGTTGCTGATTCCTAATGGGAAAAAAGCCAAGCTCTCTCTAACCAGGCAGTATAAAGAGATGGTGCTTTAATGATGGTGAGAGGCCTGGGGCTAGGCAGGCTGGCAGAGATAGATGGGACATCAGTCTATTCCAGTGGTTCTTAAACTTCTGTATTGGTGACTCCTTTCACACAGCAAACCTCTGAGTGGGACCCCCCCCCCCATAAATTTAAAAACACTTTTTTTATATATATTTAACACTATTATAAATGCTGGAGGTGAAACGGGGGTTGGTGGTGGAGGCTGACAGCTGGCAACCCTCCATGCAATAATCTCATGACCCCTCTGAGAGGTCACAACCCCCAGTTTGAGAACCCCATATCTATTCTTTCTGTGGTGCAATTTGAAGCTATTCATCAACTTTGACTTGAAATTGTAGTGTCTATTTTTTGCTTTTTTTTAAACAGAAATAATCACAACACCCCTGTGTCCTATTCTTTCTCCAGAGATTCATCCTTCCTGGACTTTTCTTTATTTAGCACACCCCCAGATTGCCCTTTCTCATGAGTTGTCTGATCTCCACAGTTCTACCTCTTATTCCTCCATCAGGGTCCTCAAATTTCCCCCAAGTCCTCATTTTCTCCTCCTTCCCTGGATCCTCTTGTCCCACTGCTTTCCCTTCAATTCCTCTTGATTCCCCTTGTCCTTCCCATCCCATTTCTCTGAATCTGCCTGCCCAGTGTCCTCCAGTTCCCTCATAGTCTCTTTTACACACAATGGCCAACTTTTGATCCTTGCATTCTTTTTCAGAGGAATTCTAGTCTGGGCCTTGATTAATGTAGTCTCTTAGGGTCCTCCAACTTCTTCCACTCTTGGTCTATTTTAGTAGCAGGGGACTAGACCCAGGAGGTCCCTTCCAGGCTTATGTGGGGGAAGCAAAAGTGGATGGGAATCTGGGAGGCAGTGACCATGAGTTGGTTGAGTTCAGGATCCTGACACAGGGAAGAAAGGTAAGCAGCAGGATACGGACCCTGGACTTCAGGAAAGCAGACTTCGACTCCCTCAGGGAACGGATGGGTAGGATCCCCTGGGGGACTAACATGAAGGGGAAAGGAGTCCAGGAGAGCTGGCTGTATTTCAAGGAATCCCTGTTGAGGTTACAGGGACAAACCATCCCGATGAGTCGAAAGAATAGTAAATATGGCAGGCGACCACTTGGCTTAACGGTGAAATCCTAGCGGATTTTAAACATAAAAAAGAAGCTCACAAGAAGTGGAAGGTTGGACATATGACCAGGGAAGAGTATAAAAATATTGCTCGGGCATGTAGGAATGAAATCAGGAGGGCCAAATAGCACCTGGAGCTGCAGCTAGCAAGAGATGTCAAGAGTAACAAGAAGGGTTTCTTCAGGTATGTTGGCAACAAGAAGAAAGCCAAGGAAAGTGTGGGCCCCTTACTGAATGAGGGAGGCAACCTAGTGACAGAGGATGTGGAAAAAGCTAATGTGCTCAATGCTTTTTTTGCCTCTGTCTTCACGAACAAGGACAGCTCCCAGACTGCTGCGCTGGGCATCACAACATGGGGAGTAGATGGCCAGCCCTCTGTGGAGAAAAAGGTGGTTAGGGACTATTTAGAAAAGCTGGACGTGCACAAGTCCATGGGACCGGACGAGTTGCATCCGAGAGTGCTAAAGGAATTGGCGGCTGTGATTGCAGAGCCATTGGCCATTATCTTTGAAAACTCATGGCAAACGGGGGAAGTCCCAGATGACTGGAAAAAGGCTAATGTAGTGCCAATCTTTAAAAAAGGGAAGAAGGAGGATCCTGGGAACTACAGGCCAGTCAGCCTCACCTCAGTCCCCGGAAAAATCTTGGAGCAGGTCCTCAAGGAATCAATCCTGAAGCACTTACATGAGAGGAAAGTGATCAGGAACAGTCAGCATGGATTCACCAAGGGAAGGTCATGCCTGACTAATCTAATCACCTTCTATGATGAGATTACTGGTTCTGTGGATGAAGGGAAAGCAGTGGATGTATTGTTTCTTGACTTTAGCAAAGCTTTTGACACGGTCTCCCACAGTATTCTTGTCAGCAAGTTAAAGAAGTATGGGCTGGATGAATGCACTATAAGGTGGGTAGAAAGTTGGCTAGATTGTCGGGCTCAACGGGTAGTGATCAATGGCTCCATGTCTAGTTGGCAGCCGGTGTCAAGTGGAGTGCCCCAGGGGTCGGTCCTGGGGCCGGTTTTGTTCAATATCTTCATAAATGATCTGGAGGATGGTGTGGATTGCACTCTCAGCAAATTTGCAGATGATACTAAACTGGGAGGAGTGGTAGATACGCTGGAGGGCAGGGATAGGATACAGAGGGACCTAGACAAATTGGAGGATTGGGCCAAAAGAAATCTGATGAGGTTCAATAAGGATAAGTGCAGGGTCCTGCACTTAGGACGGAAGAACCCAATGCACAGCTACAGACTAGGGACCGAATAGCTAGGCAGCAGTTCTGCGGAAAAGGACCTAGGTGTGACAGTGGATGAGAAGCTGGATATGAGTCAGCAGTGTGCCCTTGTTGCCAAGAAGGCCAATGGCATTTTGGGATGTATAAGTAGGGGCATAGCGAGCAGATCGAGGGACGTGATCGTTCCCCTCTATTCGACATTGGTGAGGCCTCATCTGGTGTACTGTGTCCAGTTTTGGGCCCCACACTACAAGAAGGATGTGGATAAATTGGAGAGAGTCCAACGAAGGGCAACAAAAATGATTAGGGGTCTGGAACACATGACTTATGAGGAGAGGCTGAGGGAACTGGGATTGTTTAGTCTGCAGAAGAGAAGAATGAGGGGGGATTTCTGAATTTCACATGACTTCAGAAGCTGCTTTCAACTACCTGAGAGGTGGTTCCAGAGAGGATGGTTCTAGACTATTCTCAGTGGTAGAAGAGGACAGGACAAGGAGTAATGGTCTCAAGTTGCAGTGGGGGAGGTTTAGGTTGGATATTAGGAAAAACTTTTTCACTAGGAGGGTGGTGAAACCCTGGAATGCGTTACCTAGGGAGGTGGTAGAATCTCCTTCCTTAGAAGTTTTTAAGGTCAGGCTTGACAAAGCCCTGGCTGGGATGATTTAATTGGGGATTGGTCCTGCTTTGAGCAGGGGGTTGGACTAGATGACCTCCTGAGGTCCCTTCCAACCCTGATATTCTATGATTCTATGTCCCTAATGCTTCCTCCTATTGTACCTTTCTCCACAAGGCTTCTTAATTCCTCCAAATTTGCTTTCATAACATGTACTGCTGGGTTCCATGACCCCATTCCTTACCCTTGCACGCCTTTCCCTTACTATGCTGGATTCAATTCACTCATAATCACAGGTAGCAAGTTTCCCTTTAACCTGGATACACATTGCTGATCATTTCTCTTCCTATTCACCCATCTGCATTCCTGTATCATGCATTCATGCTCTCTGATTTGTCCATCAGTCTATGCTGTCCCACCTGTCCAATCCCCATCCATCTGCCTACAGCATCCATCCATTACCTCCTGCAGTTTCTGATCATCTCGGGACATGTTCAGCAGCATTCTGCTTCCTCGGATCATGGGGATGTCCTGCCAGAGGGACGCGGTGGACGAGACCGAGAGACGTTGTAGATACGAGTCCTGAGGAGACAGCACTTTCCTCCGTAGCCTCAGGGAGCTTGGAGAGCTCGGAGAGCTCGGTTCGAAGTCCTCAGCCAAAGAATCCGCTCTCTTCTGGCTCTGGATTGCCTTGTTCAGAGCCACGTCGCTGTATTCCTGATAGAGTAACCTTGCTGTGGAGAGAGGCCAGAAATTCAGATTCATTCGAAAGCAGTGACTGCGGAACTCCCTGTGTGGAGAGGACTCCATTATTGTCTCAATACAATCAGTCTAAGACAAATGGACATGTTAGAGCCTATAGTGTTTATAATGCACCGATCACCAGCACAGCTCTCCACATCTCTAACCACATTGCATGCTGATGGTTACATGGCTCTCACTGATACTCCCACCTAATTTCCTGTATCCCTCTCTTTCCAGCGCTCCGCAGGGGGGATAATGACTGGGGTTTTCTAGAACAATTAGATGGGAGGTACTTACAGGAGTTGATCAGTTTGGAGTGTCGGCGCTTGAGATTCTCCAGTGTGTCTGCAGATTTCTTCTCCCTGTCCAGGGAGAGGAGAAGATTTGGGGAGCAAGAGGACAGGAGAAAATAAGACCTGCTGAACTGGATGTAGCTTATCCAGATCTCAGTAATTAATCTGGAACAGCTGGGACTTCTCTCTCCATCAAGTTCAAAGTCTGCATTCCTTATTTCTACTGCAAAGGACCATTGTCAGGATGATGGATATTCAGAAGTAAAGGGACATTAATTCCCCTCTTGCCCCTTGGGGAAGGGAATCCCATTGCATGGGCAGCCTGGGATGAAGCTTAGGCAGGGGTCATTATCTCAGAGAACATTTTGCTCTGTTGTCTGTTTCTTGGGCCCCTAAGGAATTACTGGAAAGTTCTGGGCTGCTGTACCTCAGGTGGAAGGGATTAGAAGCCAATGGGAGACTCACCGAAGTATAACTGTATCTGAGCTGGTTGGCTGGTCCTTGTGTGCTCCCTCCTCTGAAAGGACAAGAGAGGTTATCCCATTTTCTTCCAATGAGACAGCAAGTGCACGCGCACAAGAGAGATTCCAAGTAGCCAACTGTAAGGATATGATGCAATGCGGATATCACATCCTAAACCCTATGTAGAGGCAGCAGTCTAGGACTGGGACCAGTGCTTTTTGGGCTTTGCAGCTTCGTGGTCTTTAACAATACTTGGCACTTACTTAACACTTCATACCTATCATTTAGACAATACTTGTTTTTCATACACACATCTTTCCAAGCCACTAAATGGAAAGAGGTCAGGGTTTTCAAAAGTGACAATGACTTTGGTGCCCAATCTGACATGCCTGAAAGGGGCCTGATTTTCAGGGTGTGGATGGCTCGCTCAGCATTTTCTAGAAATTGGGGCCCCTTTAAAGTGCCTCAAGTTGGGCATCCACCACCTGAGTCACCCAAAGTCATTTCTGAAAATCGGAGCCTTATTCTTGGAGATGTTCAGACCCCAAAGCTCCAATTGACTTCATAGCTGTAAGTACTCAACACCTCTGAAAATTACCCTATACATGTGTTGGGAGCACTGTGATCTAGTGAATTAGGCATGGGACTAGATGTCATTGGGTTCATTGTGATTCTGATACTGACACTAGGTCACTGGTGACTTTGGGAAGTCCCTCTCTCTCTTTTTCTGAAACAGGGTTCCATTTGTAGAATGGGGAAAATATTTACCTCCTTTGATGGAGGGTGTTGGGAGAGGCCTAACTAAATCTGAGGAAAGAACTATATATCTAGCAAAGGATTATTAAAACCAGCTGGTGGCAGACATGAGAACAGAGCCCAGGGGGGCGGGGAATGGGACCACCGTTATCACTAACTTCTTCCGCTTCGGGGCCAAAAATGTATAAATATAAAATAAAAATAAGTGCAATATTTTGAACCAAAGTGGCTTCAATGTAAAAACACTTCCAGTATCCCAAAATGCCAATACTTATGCAGTGTGAAAAAATGTAAAAGGAGTTGAAGCAAAAATAAGCCGAAAGTGTCACTAATTTCACCCAGCTCAATATGTGTATTTATAAAAGGGCATAGAGATCTCATCCTCTCACATACACACTAAGTACAATATTGGCTAGGTGCATTGTGGAGGATTTATGCCTTTGTCTAAAGAATTCGTCATTGGTTTCCACCAAAGACAGGGCACTGGATCTGACAGATTTGCATTCTGATGCAGTATCTGAAATTCTATGTTCTTATGAAATATTTCTCCAAGGGTAGCATAGGGTCAGAATGAGACCTGAAGGTTTCTGAATCAAACTGAACAGCTCTCAAGTCGGTCACTAAAGAGGTGGCACCAAACAGGCCAGGAGATCCAAAAATCTCACTGGCCATAGAGCTATCTCACTGTCAATCGTTAAGCGTGTGCACTTTTTGTTGTTGCTTGAAAGTTGGTTATCACTTCATCTGCAGACATGGAACAGCCTTGTGGTGGCAGCAGAGGCCTCTACCCTTCATAGGCTAATGGCTTACTGTGAAAGGGTTAATACCAGTGGGGCCACTGCATGGCTGAGAAAAGGACTAGAACTCTGAATAAGGACGGAGTGCAGCTACACAGCATTTTGGAGCGAGCCTCCCAGCCCAGGTCAGCAGACATAGGCTAGCTCCTGCTAATGCTCTAAAAATAGCTGCATAGACAGAGCTTTAAAGTTGCAGCTTAGGGTGGGCTTCAGAGCCCATCTCCCTAAGCTTCAGAGCCACAACTTCACAGAGCTATCTATACACCTATTTTTAGAGCCCTAGTGTGAGCCCTGGTAACACAAGTCTGTTGGCTGGCGCCGGGAAGCTTGCTCCAAAATGCTGTGTAGACATACCCCCGGGAGTTCAGTGGGCAGGCAAGGCAGGAGAGAAGGGAAGCTGTAGGAGCAGGCTGGGAAGGGGGTGAGAAAAGATGCTGGGCAAGTAGTTGAGGAGGGACTAATTTAGTGAAATGGGAGCTGGGTGTGCTGTTGGTAGCTATTATTAGTATTGGTCAGACTGGTGAGCGGTGATGGGGATAGCGGTCCAAAGCAGGCAAACAGCCTCGCTTGATGTAATAGCTTTTTCTCTGGAAACCCCAATAATTCAGGTCAATTTTAGTGACAAGAGGGTATATTTCCACAGGGCGGGACTGAGGGGCATTAGCAGAGCTATGAGGGGAGACCAGGACTGGAATAGCAAGGGGACTGCAGGGCAGGATAGAGGGGCTTTGGCAAAGTTGTGTGTGGATAGTTTTGGAAGTGGGTCTCTAGCTATTCTCTGGCTATAGGTATTTTCACTCCCTTACTCCTCCATCTTTTGCTTTATGCTGAGATTTGGTATCTTAGGAGCAGAGGGGTCTCACCTTGTAAGTTGTCTGGCAGTACTGACATCTTCCTCAGGCCCTGCCGGTGCCAGTCTTTGCTTTTTGCTCTGTGTTTGATCCTGTTCTCCTGACTCCCTGAATTGAGTCCCAGCTCCTTCATGTCCACCCTGACGACTTGTTTATCTGGCCAACTTGGTGACTTCTCCAAGGGTGCGTGTCTGGCCACCTCCTCTTTTCGCTGGGCCGCAAGGTGAAGCGGTTCTCCCTGCCCTTCCATCTTTTGCTTGCATGTCCTAGCGTCCTCTGCTTTCTCTATCATCGTTGCAGGGGCTGTTGTGTTCTTCGTATCCACGCTGGTGGGGCCTGCCTGTGCCTGGTCCCACTGGGGCTCCTCAAAGACTGCCTCCTGTTGGTACAGTGTTCTGATGGTTGGTGGCGATGGAGGGCTGAACTGCAGGAAGTGGAGTGGGTTGGAGAAAGCTAGTAGTGGGGGTGGCTGTGCTGAATTTCTACTCTGAGAGTCTGTGGATGTTCCCCACCCTCCCAAGGAGGGCCTGGAGGTGCAGTCAGGTGTGGACTTTCCACAGTTTGTAGCCAGGTGCTGACCCATTGCTCCAGGGCTGCTGTTAGAGTGGCCCATGGGTGCCTCATTCTCCAAAGTGGGAAAATCTGAGCTCTCTGCCAATGAAGTGATGCCTGAGTCACTGGTGTCCACCACATCCGGTGTAAGTGAGATGACCGGATCCAACTGGGCACCAGACACTCCCCCGTGGGTCATCTGCATTAGGAGGGGGTTCTCTTCTCCATCTTCCACAGCAGGGGCAGGGACCAGAGCATGAGCAAGGCTGTCAGCATCAGACACAGAGGCTGGAGCCTGGCTAGAGCAGCTGGAATTGGGGGCAGTGGCCAGTAATTGACTAAAGTCTGGTACACAGTTTAGAGGTGGGTTGGAGTTAGACACAGGAGGCAGAGGCTGGTCAATATCAGGTGCAGGGTCTGGAAGCTGGTTGGAGTCAGGCACAAGGAATCGAGACTGGAGAAGCTGGTCAGCATCCGGTGCAGGAGCCAGAGGTGAGCCGGGTGCAGGCGCCAGAGGGTAGGCGAGCTGGTCAGCATCAGGTGCAGGCGCCAGAGGATAGGTGAGCTGGTCGGCGTCAGGCACAGGAGCCAGGGGTGAGCCGGGCGCAGGAGCCGGAGGATAGGTGAGCTGGTCGGCGTCAGGCACAGGAGCCAGGGGTGAGCCGGGCGCAGGAGCCGGAGGATAGGTGAGCGGGTCGGCGTCAGGCGCAGGAGCCAGGGGTGAGCCGGGCGCAGGAGCCGGAGGATAGGTGAGCTGGTCGGCGTCAGGCACAGGAGCCAGGGGTGAGCCGGGCGCAGGAGCCGGAGGATAGGTGAGCTGGTCGGCGTCAGGCACAGGAGCCAGGGGTGAGCCGGGCGCAGGAGCCGGAGGATAGGTGAGCTGGTCGGCGTCAGGCGCAGGAGCCAGGGGTGAGTTGGGCGCTGGAGCCGGAGGATAGGTGAGCTGGTCGGCGTCAGGCGCAGGAGCCAGGGGTGAGCCGGGCGCTGGAGCCGGAGGATAGGTGAGCTGGTCGGCGTCAGGCGCAGGAGCCAGGGGTGAGCCGGGCGCTGGAGCCAGAGGGTGGGTGAGCTGGTCGGCGTCAGGCGCAGGAGTCAGGGGTGAGCCAGGAGCAGGTACCGGAGGGTGGGTGAAGTGGGTGGCATCAGGCACAGGGGGCAAAGGTGAGCTGGGCGCAGGAGCCAGACTGTGGGCGAGCTGAGTGGCATCAGGCACAGGAGCCAGGGGTGAGTCAGACGCAGGCGCCGAAGGGTGGTTGAGCTGGGTGGCGTCAGGCACAGGAGCCAGGGGTGAGTTGGGCACAGGCGGGTGGTTGAGCTGGTCAGCATCAGGCACAGGGGCCAGGGGCGAGCTGGAGTCAGGCTCAGGAGGAGGAGGCTGCGTGTGCTGCTCCAAGGCAAAGACTACCACTTCTTCTGGGGGCTGCGGTACAGCCTTAAGGACACTTCCTGTTCCTGGAACTTCCACCTCTAAACTCAAATGTGACTCATCGAGTAAAGGGTTTTGTTGTGCTGTGTGAACCATGTTTGCTTTCATTTCCTTTCCCTGAAAAACAAAACTTCTCGTTGGGGGCTTTTGGTGCCTCTGGACTTTCTCCAGGTAATTTGGGGGACCGAGAGCCATGTCTGGTGCTTGGGATGACTCCAGGTGCATTGTAGCTGGAGCTGCAGGGGTAGAGCCTACTTCATCTCTGTCCTTGGGCAAGCTCTGCCTTAGAGGGGGACTTCTGAAAGCCTTGGAGATGCAAGGTTGGGCACTAGGCTCTTCATTAAGGCCCTTCTCAGGTGTAAGCAACCCATGGGGAGTCTGAACACCCTCTGGGCTGGTGGACACTGATGCTCCTTCACTAGAAGCTGCCTCCTGCAGATAAGAAGTCTGGCTGGATGTGTCCTGTACAGAGACTGGTGCTTTGTCCAGGTCAGTACATCCTGCAGGGCTCACATGGGATCTTTCATCAGCATCCTCCTGAGATGGGCTACCTGCTGATGGTGCTGAGTTGAGCTCTGATGGCGAGGCTGGAGTGAAATCATAATGACTGGGAAACGCTGGGTTTTCTGCAACAGGATGAGGATCTGCGGGACCAAAAGAGCCAAAGTTCCTGGCACCAGAAGAAGGGTCCACAGCCCTGGAAGAGTCTGGGTTCCCTGCACCAGATGAGGTTACTTCTCTGCATAATAGAAATATGGCTCCATCATCATGAAAGCTCTGGACTGTCCTTCCATCTCCGTCACTATGGCCATCCTCCCCATTACTGGTTCTGTTATCCTGACAGGTTTCTTCACAACCTTGGCCATTGAAAGAAATGGAGCTGGAAGGGTCAGACACTCCCATGTCTCCCCAGTGCTCAGAGATGTGGCAAGTGGGGGAGTGCATCATGGAGCTCCCACCCACTGGCTTCTGACTTTTGGACATTATCACAGCAGGTGGCTGAGCTCTTACACTTGCTCCTCCAATGCAGGCCTCCAGTACTATGCAGGACAGTACATCCTCACCGGGATGCTGATCTTTGGGGAATGATTCCTGGGGCAGAGAGGCCAGCCCTGTTCCCTCAGTCGAGGAAATGCTCTTCCCCTCATCACAGGGGTCCCAGGTTTGCTTGGAGAGAGAAGGTGATGCCGGATTGAGTGCTGGTGGTGGAGCCTCGAGCTCCGCCTCTTCCCTCCCTGGCTCTCGTTCCAGCTCATCCCACCTCTTTTCCTTCTGATCTTCCCTGTCCCATACTGGCTCCTCCTGCACTGGTTTTGCTTCCTTCTCTAGCGTCTCCCATTCTGACTCCTCCTGTTCCAGCTCTGGCTGCTTCTGTTCCGACTGCTCCTCCCCTTCTGGCTCCTCCCCCCATTCTAGCTGCTTGTGCTGCCACTCCTCCTGCTCTGTTTTTTTCGCAGCATTTGGTATGTGGAAGACACACACTCTTGGAGATTCAGTGCTGCCTTCTGCTCTTCCATCATCTGCTCCTTTCTCCTCCTCCAGAAGGAGGTTTATAGAACCAGGTGGACTTTGCCTAGCAGCCACTTCTGTTTTCTGGTCTGTGACCAAGGCATTGTTCCCTCTCTCATGGGATGACAGAACCATCTTTCTGTCTGCATTTCTTCCTGTTAGCCATGAATTTCCTTGGCTGTCATCCGATAAGGGATAGGGTGAGTGATGTGAAGAGGAAGAGTCTCTATCCTCTCCCCCACCCTGTAAGCCTCCTACTTTTTCATCATTATCTACAGAAGGCATGGGATTCATCCTGCCTGCTGCATCCATTCCAGGAGATGGCTCCTCATCAGTCCCTGCCACTGCTTCAGTACGTGGTCGGAGCTCTCTGATGGTCCCATTTGCTACATCCAACCCCTGCAAGGAGGAATCCCCAATAGTGTCATCATGCAAAGTCTCAGTCTTGCAATGAACCTCTGAAACTTCTTTACACACCAGGAAGTGTTTAGTGACTGGTTCCCTCTGGCTGGGAACAGTGTCTGTCATTGAGGTTTCCTTATGCTGCGCCTGGGGGACAGCAGTATGACATGTCAGGGACTGTTTCTGATCCTGAGGAAATTCAATATAAAGGGCTGGAGACTGTACCTGCGGGTTTTTGTCATGAGTGGCTGTCGCCTGGGGGACTGTGTTGGGAAAGAGAGAATACTGATTTCTTTCAGGATGAGCTAACTTTCCCTGTTCAGAGTTCAAGGAATGATCCCATCTCTCTTCTTCCAAAGATATCTCTTGTACTGCAGGACCTTTCTCTCCCTCTGAGAGTCCTCTCTGGTACCTTAGATCTTGCTCCCCTTGTTCCAGTCCTAACGGAACAGAGTTAGAGGATTTGCCACACATCTCTGCTGATTCCCCAACAGAGAGATGCCTCAGAGGATCCTGGGCAATGGAGACCTGTGCTCCTTCTGCAGAGCCAGGCAGCTCAGTGTTCATCTCTACAGACTCAGTGGTGGCATAATGTTCCCTTTTGGCTGGTGTAGGATCAGGGTTTTCCTCACTAGGGCTGCTGGTTTCTGGGGGAAGGGGGTCTCCCCTATTGGCTTCTTCAGATTCCATCAGTGCAACATCCTGTAAATGAGAACACAAATATTTTATATTATAAAATGGCTAGGTTGGAAACTGAGAGTGGATTGACCCAAGGAGCTTTGAGGAGAGAAGCTAATGTCTCTGGGAAAAGAAGTGAAATACATACCCAATGAGTGGGAGGGAGTCAGAAAACAGTGATGGTAGATGACAAATTAGATTCTTTGTAACGTGATAAAGCAACAAATCAAACTGGTGTGATATTGGGCTGCAGCTCGAGAGGCTGGTCTAAAACAATTAATCTAATTCAGCCTCACCTACACCAGAAAATCCTGCTGACATCAGTAGGGGGAGCATGTGTGAAAAACAAGGAAGATTCTAGCCTACTGCCTTTACCTGTCTGGGCCATGTCCTGTCTCTGTCCGCCCTGAGATGGTTCTCTCTTCCCAGACTCAGCAGTTTCCCATACTCCTACTAGCCTTGGAATGTTTTCTCTAATATTTCAGCCTCTCCTCTAATAAAAGCAATGGAAGATAGACCTGCTTTTACACTGCTGCATGCATCATGTGTTAAGTACCATACCATCATGCCAAAGCCACGGTACAATCCCCTCTGCATCTCAGTCCTTTCAGGGCTATTACCAAACAAATCTGTAACAACCTCCTTCCCCAGCTTGTCTTTCAGCTGTCAAACCCTCCAGACAGCCAATGAGCAGTCCTGACATTCTTCGCTACAGCCATCATCCCATATCCCTTCAAGTAAAAAACCTATTTCACCTCTGTGCCCGATCCTGCCTCTAGAGTCATCAGATAACACCTCCCAGTGAAAAAAACCACCATAGCAGTCCTTCTAGCAGCAAGGAACTGGGATTTCTTCCTCGCCCACCCCAAATCCGATAAGCAAATGTATGACCCTTCCCTCCCTGCATAGTGCCAGACCCTTCTGAATCAAAGGTCAGGAAACTGAATTCACAATGCCCGTGCAGGGAAAGAAGGGTGCACAGGATGGTTCAGGGCTGGGCCCTCTCTATGTAAAAAGAGAGAGATATCAGGGGGAGTGGGGATGTGCATGAAGAGTGAGAATCATGTTAGAAGTCTGTACCGAGGCTATAGCTGGCATTATTGGTGTGCGCGAGTGGGACATGAGTGTATAGGGAAAGGGAAGTCTCTCATAACAGAATCAGGTTATTTCATGGGGGTAGGGGTGGCAGCAGGGTCAAAGGAAATCCGTGTTCCCATACAGGAATGGAAGGTAGGAAGGGCTTTTCTACACTCTCAAGGGGAAGTGGGTTGGCTAAAAGAGGTGTGGAGAGATGGTAGCTAAGCATGGTGATACCCAGATAGTATCTGGAACAAAGGTGTTTAAATCCCTCACAACTGTACTGTAATATAGCACTGACACATTGTTTCTCTGCATGTGATTTGGCGGGGAGGGGATGACTTCTACACTCTCTCTGCCTGTGGGTTTAGTGGATCAGAGATCCTGGCTGTCTGGATCAAACTCTCCTGCTCAGCATCTTGGGCGTGGATGTTCTTCAGTTGATGTCAACAACATGACTAGGTTCAGGGGTGGCCTCTTTGGCAAAAATGCAGTCCTACTCCTCATAGTAGTTGTAGACCATGCAAGTTCTCCCTAAGGTCTTATTATTGTCCTTCACATTTCTATAACCCTACAGGAGCTTCTTTCTTTGTTGATTGGATTGTAGGCAGGGGTGGCTAAGGGGCCATGGCACATCCACTTTTCGCCACAGGCCTGCCCCCTGTCCCTCTTCTTCCCCATGAGGCCCTGCCGCCTGGCCTGGGTAAGAGCGGTCTGGGGAGCCCAAGAATAACCCCCAGCCCAGGTCCATGCCCAGGGCAGATGGAGGGGCTGTGGCTCCCCACAGCTGCCTGGGTGGCTCTTACCGTGGCCCGGCTTCAGCTTTTCGGACTCCAAGGCCCCAGGCCAGAAGCCGGAGCCAGGTTAGGCTAAGAACTGCGTAAGCAGCTGCGGGGAGCTGCAGACCCTCCACCTGCCCTGGCCAGGGAACCTTGGGGGCGGGGACATGGGCCAGGGGCTGCTCCCGGGGGCCCCACCCCAGGCAGGTAGAAGGGCCCAGGCTCCCTGACGAGACTCCATCTTCCAGCTTTGCGAGGGGGGCGGGTGGGGGGGTTGCACACATGCTTTAAGGAAAAATCTGTTGCCCCTGGTCCCAGGAGCACCCCCTTCTCCTTAATTTGTTCAGATAGCCACTTTTAGATCTGGGCATTCTGCTTACTTGGGCCTGGACACACACCTCTCCACAGAGGGCAAGGAAGTCCAGGACCTCAGCACAGGACAATACAGAAGCATAGATCATGGGTGGAGACCCACATCTCCCTTTCCTGATCAGGATTTTTCCAGGCTGCACAGCTTTATGCTGTTATTCAGACTTCCAGAATACTCTGTCATCTAAACTTTGCTTTCTCTTTGAAGACTGTGAACAACATAATTTCCAGCAGTTATATGTTACCACACAGCCCTTTATAAGCAAGCACATTTATTCTTGAGGTGAAAGCATTACAGTGAAAACATAAAACACAATAGAAGTTCTTATGCACGTGCTAAAAACTTACCTGAGGTCAATCAATCAGTCTTACGTGGTCTCAGTTAGCCAAAGTCCTCCTGACCCTTCCCAGGAAGGATTGGGGCCACCTTGGACAAGAGGTCCCAACTCTTTATTGGATCAGAAAGACAGCCCTGAGTCAGTTTAAACTCAGGATATTTATCCAAAAGTCCTTTCTTTGTCTGTCAGTCTCTGCAGAATCCAGTCTGAACCAGTACCCGAGCTTCTTCAGGTGCTGGCACTTCTCTGGAGGTGTTGCAACCTGAAAGAATTTGCCTAATCTCACACTACCATTTGCCCCACACACACACACACTTTCTCTCTCTCTTTCTCTTTAGTTCCTGGAGGAGCTGTGGGTCACCCTCCCCCATGGAATTACATAAAACCCCTGGCTCCCAATTATACATACATTTAAATCAATAAGGTCTCCCAAGAATATGGCAGGAAACAGCCATATCTGTCACAGCTTCTACCCCTACTTTGGTTGTGGGAAAATTCATCCTGAGTATCAGTGAACTTGCTTCTAAAGTGGATTTACTAATGCAGGACCAGATGCTAGATAATTAAAAACAAACTTACGTGTGGATGCAAAGCAATTTATTCCCAAGAAACCCAAGTTAACCTGCAACAAGTTTCAAGTATAGATGAGCCCCTAAATGAAACAGGAACAGGGCACTCCAGAATAAGAGTGTCCCACGTGCAGTTAATCAGGAATGACTCCAAGTGTAGACAAACCCTAAGATTCTCACTCTCCTTAAATTAGAAAAGCTCTAACTTTCTCCGCCCTCTTTACCTTGATGCAACAGGCCCCCAGATTCTTTCCTCCAAAATACACACACACAAACACGGTGTATGGAACACATGGTGCTATCTATCTGTTCCAGTTCCCCCACCCTGAGACATGGCAGCTGCGCTGAGGCAGAGTGGAGTTTGCACATGCACCCACCCGTACTGTTGAAACACACCACCTGGCTGAGAAAGCCCTGCTCCACCCTTAAAATGTCTCTGTGTCAGAGCTGAGCTAACACAGACTGCTCGTTGAGATGGCTGGTCTATTTGCCCTTCCTTTGCAGTGGAGCAGCAACCTGAGACATGAAAATCTCCCTTCTAGTAGGAGCTTTTGAGCCTACTTCACTCTCCCTTTGCTCTCCGGTCCCTCCCCCTTCTCAAACCAAGCCCAGTTCCAGGAGTTCATTAGCTCAGGGTGTGGTCTTGTGTTTACTGCTTCACATTCCATTCTCTGCTTCCAGCGCTTCTCAGACACCTAACACCACTCCAGAGTCCTGAGGAGCGTGGGGGATAGACAGACCGAAACCTTCACAGGTCACCAGGGCCAGTGGTTCTCCTACAGCAGATATGCTAGTTTTAAATGTCCCACTAAGAGCTGTGCACATCTTTTGTAATGAAACACAAAGGAAAGAAAAACTAGTCTGCTTTTGTAAGAAAATGAACCTCTGAGCCAGTCACATGTACCTTTTGTTAAGGGCTTCTAAGAGAATCAGGCTGGGCCACACTGACTCAGGGTCTGCCTTTCTACCTCTACACCCTACCATTTCCCTCCCCCAGGCCCTCATTTCCTATCCCCTGTTCTCCTACCTGCACACCCACATACTTGCCTGGTGCCATGCCTAGGGAGTGGCCTATGGCCCCTTGCCTGTCCCCATGTCAGGCTTGCCGACTGTGCTCTACCAAGCTGTCTCAAGGGAATGGGGCTGGCTGGCCTGCCACCCAATCTTCAGAAGCAACTGGACTAAGTTGCTGATCTCACTGCACCACTGCCCTGTCTCACGGCATGATGCAGTACGGACCCTGTATTGGCAATGGGGCCAGCAACTCATTACCACTACTTCCTTGATTCGCCCAGTAGAGGACAGTGCTAGCCCCTAGAGATACATAGAGGGGAGGAGAGTGACAGAAAATGGCATCAGGGAAGAGGTAGGTATCCGCAGCTTGTTGAGAAACAGAACTGGGTGGGGTTTGAAGGGAGCAACTGATGACAGGAATTTCTCTAGTCATGACCGTGTCTCCTTGACCCAATCTGTAACAGAATGTGCGGTCATCACTCGCATTTATCTCGCTAGTTTGTGTACAGCCACTCCTGCTAGAGTGGCTTCCTTTGGGTGAATGTCAGTCTTGCATTTGGAAATCAAAGCAGTTCTTCCAGAAACCGGTGTCCTCCTGGTATATGTACATAAAACACAGAACTTTCCATCGGGTCAGAAATAGAATGTACTGCCAGCTACACTGCTATTAATATTACTGACTTTTCTACACAGAGTGGACTGGAAATTTGGCACTGTCCCAAAACACACACGTGGGGGGAGGGGGGGGTCAAAAAACTTATGAAACTGATGTTATCTGCTCCCCTAGAAAGTAAAACCCGAAAAAGGGAAGTGGAGCTATTTGCTACTGAAAATTGATTAAAAAGGAGTGGCCCTCCCTAGCAGAGAAGCACAGATCA